GGGAATTTAATTGTACTTCTATTCCCATTGTAAACAAAAACTCTAATTCTATTGTACAATTGGGAAAAGATACAACTAAAAATGGGATAAAACGAATGTCGTATATAAGTTTGATTGTAAATGACTGTCCAGCAACTTATATAGGAGAGACAAAGCGATCACTACAAACTCGCATCAACGAACATAAAAAAGTGAATGATAATTCTGTGGTCTATAGACATCGTTTAAATTTTAATCACGATTTTGATTGGGAAAATACAAAAATATTGGATAATGAACCTAATTTTAAAAAAAGACAAATATATCTGAATTGATTCATATAAAAACAAATCGTTCCATTGTCAACAGAAAGGAAGATATCTTCACCTTAAACAAAACATTCTTTCCTTTATTTAGACGTAGGGACTCGTGTCCATAAAGGAAATAATATAATCAATATAACTTGTACCTCATCTAAGAATGTGTTTATGTTTTGGTTCATTGACTTCTCTCACGTGTTTGCTGGTTTGACTTTGTAAGATGAATAAATTTTTTTTTCAGTTGACAGTGAATCGCTGTTTGATAATGTCTTCTCTCTATTTTAAATTTTATTCTTATAAGCGTGGAATGATTTTTTATTATATTTTGACGAAACTTTAATCTTTGACGTGTTAGCATGTGTTCGATGTTCTAACAAAATTTAGGTATATTATCATTATTGTTAATTTATAGAAATAGTAACTTATCTATTTAATAAAATTTTAGCCTGATGAGGTTGGCAAACCCTAGCCAACGAAACATCGCTCTTTTAACGACACACTTTTGAATTTTTATTTAAATTTTACCTTCCCAAGATCATATACATTATCAACAATAAATAAAGTAATACCCTTTGTATCGACAAAAATAATTTTAAAACACGTCTTTTTAACCGTATTAACCAAATCCTCCTCCTTAATAAAAATTGAGAGATAATAGCGATTAGATTTTAATTTGGATTGTTAGAATCTTTATCTTTCCTTCTAAAATGTATATAGGTTAAAACTTTTCGATATTTATGAAATTAGACATACTATTCAAATTAAGAAACAAATCTAATCCTCTGTTGTCAAAACGAAAAAGTTCAAATACCTCATTCATTTTGATTAAGAAGCTTTAAATGTCACTAGAAAATGTCAACCACAACAATAAAAATTGTCATCCTATCTTCCTTTTTCTTCACCCTTTTAAACTGGCAATATCGTATTATAGAGTGCTGTAAAAAAGGGGAACAGAAAAAGAGAGCACATTTTTCATCGATCTTTCTGCAATATTTTGCTAAATTACTTTCTCACCCGCAGAGCCGACATTATATTGGAAAGACTCATGAGCTCTTGAATTGAATTCGACGAAGCAGTTATGCAGTAATATTATTTCTTAAACGTTGCCTTACGAATGAGTTAATTACTTCATATATTTCTTGGGACCGACAGGACGCCGTACCGTTTAACTGTAGATGATTAAGAACTGCTTTTCACTTTGATTCACAACCAAGTACTCTGGAAGCGACAAAATCTATTACTCGAGAAATAGTTACAATTTGTACCTACAAAGTAGCTTCCATTTTTTTTGTCAAATTATTTATTGGAAAAATATCTTACAGTCAATAGGCACTTTACATAAAAACGGATGCGTCGTCTACGTGAACGAAGAAGCTACAATATCATTAAGAGTGAAAACAAATTAGAAATATTTGCTTGCTTATTAATTGACATTAATTATTATTACTATTGATTATTAATCGACTTTATACTATTATTAATTTATTAATAAGTAAATAATCAACTTATTTTTAATAAGTTGATATTATTAAAAATATGTAACGATGACGTGACACCTCTATAATATTTGTTTAATGTGAAAAGAAAATGATTATAACGTTGATTGAAACAAAAATTCACAGAGGAAACTTAAAGAGAATGCTACTGTTTACAATTAAAAATTAATAGTATAATTAATTTTGTGGTACGAAGTTAAGAACAGTAGATTGGAAACTTTTAATTATATTGTATTTTGAAAACCGAAGTAATTACGAAGCTATCAATTTTGTCGCAGAACAGACAATGTAACGCTCGATGTGATTATTAAGTTACAAAGTAACTGAAGATATTATCCACTAGAATCATAAACTTGAAACAGAATGAAAACGTGCAAAAGTCATTTCTTCAAGATAATAACAAACTTGTATGCCTCTGCGTCCCGCTTGTTTCATGTCACTTTAATATGCACTGCATGTGAAGAGTTCTGGGATTTAGATTTCAGGAAAATGTGCACGTATATTTTCCACTCACAATGACACATACTTGTAGCTTTTCCACTGTTATTAGCTTTTCTCAAAGCTACATTTTCAAAATCTAATATTACTTTCCTGCAAATGTTTCTACGTGAATAAGTCATTTTAATTTTTTTTAATAAGATTTTGACACACTTTTTATTGTATTTGTCATAATTTTTAGTTAAGGAGATTTAAGAAAGAAGAAATTTTGAATTAAACATGTTGAATTAAAAAGTATAATTAAGAATTTTTGTGATTTAGATTCTGTCATTTGTTATTGATATAACGAGCGTAGTACAATAACTCTGTAGAACAGAGGTGTCGTTATCTCTGTAGATCATGACTCCTCGTGTCTTCCGGTATATACAATACAGCATAGTCGTTATCCGTCATCTTAATGCACAGCCGGAACCAACGCAACTCGAGCTTATAAACGACACGTTGGCCGACCGTCTCTCTAGAGATTTTCTAGTTTTTACTTTAATAGACTGACAATGCTTTTATGCAAGTGGGAAGGAAAATTTCTTAAAAATTAGCAAAAATAAAATGCAATATTCAATAATTTTCGTAAATGACAAATCCGTCGTCATATTTTGAAAATTCAAAATGGTGGATTCAATATGGAAGATAAATTTTAAAGAAATTATTAGATATTGTTACGTCTCAGAAAAAAACTTGTAATTAACGAATCTTATTTAAAAACTGCATGTTTTATTTACGGAGCGGAAGAGAACAGGCAAAGGAAATCAATGGTCAAAACTTAGATCTAGAATTCCTTTATTGATTATTTGTCCCAATGAAAGGGCAACCTCTCTTCTTGAAAACTGGCAGGTTTTCTCTCTTGAATTGATCAGTTTGTCCCACTGTTAGAAGAAACAAACCATTAACATATTTTAAGGAGATATTACACAGAAGTAAATATTGAACAAATATCTTATCTGTACAACTTAAATGGAAGGCGTGCCAATTCCCTTGTAGATTTTTGACTACGACTGAGCCTAGAGTGGCGTTATTCTGCTATAGAAATTTTAGATCAAAATTCTGCAGGCCGTGCAGGAGTTAAACTTTTATTATTTCCCAATGTCATGCACTAAGTTGCGAAAGGTTATTATCCAAATGACACTGATAACGAAGAACTATGACACGCACTGCACTGACGAAGTAGTTGAAAGGTTGACAACGAATTTTAGACTAATTGACAACATGGAGACTGGAACAAGACTGACTTGTCCCACAAAACATGGTGGTTTATATACACACAAAAATTAAATTTTTAGAGCAACACCCCATTATTTGAAGAAAAGTGTTAATTTTCGAAAAAAAATAATTGAAGATTCGCAGGTATAGATTATTATTCTTGTTTCGAATTTTAATTAAATAAATAAAACATTATAAGAATAACCTCAGATTTAAAATCAATTTGTAATTAACACAATCGAATTTAATATAATTTATATTTCTTAAATAAAAACAAAATATATAGGTATTTAATATTACCAAAGTGAAACAAAAAAATAGTTGCAAACAAAAATAACGCTGAAGAATATCAAAGAGAAAAGTAATAATTCAAAGAGTGATTTAATCAAAAATATCCAAGAGACCCCGTTTGACGTTTTACAATAATAAACAGTAAGGTCAGAGTTTCGCTGAAAATGTATTAAATAACATTAAAGATAGTAAAGATCTTTTAAAAGAAGCTTTTCCGTTAAAGTTGAGCTCATATGTTCAAATATCAACGCCTCTTAGTTCCTTTGTTCTTCGAGACCCAGAGAACGAGATCCTTTCAACAGGAAATTTAACTTTGCATAACTGGCTGGCCAAAGAAGTCTTTTATAAAAGGCAACTTCAACTCGAGGATGGAAAGCACTTACTTCAATAAAAATACATTACTCTCGCCCCCCCCTTTCCTATTTATATTCAATAAACTAGAACAGTTACATTGAAAATCTTTCGTCCCTTTAATTTACTTAATGAAATTTATTTATGTTGAATAATATTAAATCAGCAAATCCATTTACTAAGTTTCATACTTTAGGAAAAGCTTTTACTACATTTTAAAGAAGATTTTAAGTAGTTTAATCAGTTATAATTTGATAATCGATTTATAGATGGAGAAAATAATTTACTTGGAGTGCATTAAATTTATATTCCCCAAATTTTGATGACAAATAATTAATATGAATATACAATTAGATTTCTCCTTTTCGAGAAACCTAATTTGACACTCGTTCAGTTGTTATTGTCACGAACTTTATTAAATTGTTCTGTTTCATCAAACGTGCCTTTATTGCATTTACATTGTATTCATATAATTGTGAAATGTCCAATGACATTTAACGGAGATTTTATATATGTAAATTTATTTTAAATTGAAAATTTTATTCTGTGTACATTCAGATATAGTATATTGTATTCACATTCATTTTTATTCGGTAAAGTCAAATATTACCAAACGTAGAATTTTAATTATTTTCATTGAATTAGAATTATCTGAAAGAGTTCTGATATACTATAGTACAGAGTTTATTATAATTCTTGAAAAGGATTTTATTATTCATTTGTATATAATTTCATTCTGTGGAAAAAGGATTGCTCATTTTGATTTCATATTGTCAGGAGCAGAAATAAAAATGTGTTTCATTTGAATTTTATAATTACACAGAGAAATCGGAAACCCATAAATGTCCTCAATAATAGGAAAACTCACCTTGTAACTACCAAGGTCCTGCACTGTACAGGACAATGTGGCCTCTCTACCCACTGAAGCGGTCACGTTTGAAATTGGCTCCTTAAAGTCTGGATCTACGAAAACAAAGAAAAGAAACTTATATCGATTATCGAATACTTTCATGGAGACGCTTACGAGTCAAAATTACTTTGCGAAAATACTTGCTAACTAAATGAACCCATTTCAGAGAGAACTGTAATATTTTTTTTCTTCTAAATCAAAAATTATTCGATTCTCATTTTACACTGGGAAACCATACACGGAGAAAAATAAATAGTAATAATTATACTATTTTCGACGAAAAATTACTACTTTTAAGTAGTAATTTTGAAACTGCTCGAAAAATAGTAACTTTTGCTTCGTATTCAAACGATTTTTACTTTTTTGAAAAAGTATAATTTACTTCAAGGAATCTAAATTTTATTAAAAGCCGAGTAATATTTAAAATTTCCCTAGCAATTAATACTCTGAGCGAAGCAACTTTTATTACGAATCAGAGCAATTATTACTATTTCGGTAAAGATTTTTACTCGTAAAAGTAGTAATCCGTACCCACACAATGACGCGCCTCACACCGACGGGCGAAACGAATGCCGGCGCGCCTGCGCGTCTGTCCACGCCGTGACGAAAAAAAATGCTGGTGTAGAGAGCTATATTGTCTCGTTTTATTTTAATAAATTAAAATAAAATAATCAGTGCGTTCAAAAAATATTTTTTCAAGTAATTAACACTGTGCATGTGTATTATTATTCATTATTCATAAGTTTTACTTTTTTTTCACATTCATACTTACAATTAACAACTTAACATATCGGAAAATCTTAACATCTATACAGTTTCGAACCCTACCTAACTTATATCTAACGCAACCTAAAATCGCACGCATTTATACTAAGCCTCTCGGCTACGCAATCGCTATGGAGAAAATTTCGTGTTACCCGCATATATCTCTTTTCGATAAAGTGAATCATAAATTATATTTATTTAGATAAGTTACTGAATTAAAATATAAACATTTATGATAATAATAATAATAAACAGTATTATTAATTTAAAATTACTTATTTAAATTATTAGATTATAATGTTAATGATTTTATTTCTTTATATATTTTTTATTAATTAATTAGTAATTCATTAAAATTAATTAACTAATTATTAAGTGATTATACATGAATTGCATACTTTGGAAATTAATAAATAATTAAAATGCATATAGGAATTAAAAATTAAATAAGTTAACTAAACATTTTTCTTTGTTTATAAGTTTATTGAAAATATTGTTGTTGTATAACAAAAAGTACACTTAATGAGTATTATATTGCACATTTGCGACATAATCAATATAAGATATATACAAACTATAAAATACAAAATAGAAAATGTTAAATTAAAACCATTTTTTGGCAATGTACTCTTGACTATTTCCAAGGCGTGTCATGTACGTGATTTTTGCTTGAGATAAACAAAATTGTCCAAATAACTGACCCGTGCTACACGTGCTTCTTGTAACCTAGAAATGTTGGATCACTTTGACGTCAGGTTACGGTCGCTGCGCATGACAGTAGTGACGTGATCACACACATAGGTGTGTAACAGTAGTGGTACGGATTACTACTTTTACGAGTAAAAAGTTTGTTCTGCAATAGTAAAAGTTGCTTCTTGCAGAAGCAATCTTTATTTTCCGCAGTATTAATTATTAGAATTTCTACAAGTAATATTTACAACATATCGAATGTAAAAAGTAATACAAAATTTAATAAAATTTACAATGACGATGTAAAAATTAAAATTCTTAAAGCAATTTTTAAACGTGACTACTGTAATAATTACTATTAGTAATTTTTACTACCAGAAATAGTAATTTTTACTTCATGCGAAGTACATTTTACTATGAATAGTAATTTTTAATATAAAAGTAGAATTATTACTATTCCATAGGAACTTTTACTAGAAACTCAGCACCATTTTTCTCCGTGTATTAATTCCTTCTGTAGGTACATTTCAATTATAATTAATAATATTATTTTATAATAATAATAATAATATTTTTTTTATTTATTTTTTTTAAGCTGAAATAAACCGTACAAGGCCTCTTAAATAATGAAACACTATTATTTTATATTATAGTACTGATTAATTAATTAGTATTAAAATTAAAATTTTGTAATTTTGTAACATTTTTAATAGTAATTAGCATGTTGCTTCTAATACATAGATATGTATTTGGATTTAAAACTTATTAGTGATTTCCATAAATATGAATTGTATTCAGTTAGGAAACTGAACAAGGTATGTTTAAAAACTTAAGTATATTTAGATTTAAAATTATTTGTAATTATCATTGATACCGGTCACTGTAGAGGGGAGTAACTGGATCAGAGGCCAGTTTGATTCTTTAAATAAAATTCGAATTCACAAAAATTAAATAAAGAATTGAATAACCATAAAGGCGGAGTTCGGTATTCACGTTGTGTGTGTGTACTCTAATATTGAGAGGATATCTAACTCAACGTTGAAAGATAGCGAGAGGCAACCAGCTCGATACTTTCCGATAATCAGAGTGCCGAGAGGCAACCAGCTCGGAGTACTCTAATTGAGAGGATAACCGACTCAATACTGTGCTATGTTTAAAGACGGCGGAGGGGGGGGGAGTGCATGCAAATAAATGAATTTAATCGAGTCAAAAGCATGTAAAATTTCAAAGACAGTTTATTTTTAAAAGTACAAATCGATGAAAAAGTTTAAGTATCGGAGCTCAGGAAAATATTCTAAGTTCCTAAGGACAAAAAAATAGTCTGAGTCCAAAGTTGGACGAAAATATTCTAAGTTCAAAGTTAATCGAAAATATTCTAAGTCCGAAGTTTGACGAAAATATTTTAAGTCCAAAGTTGAACGAAAATATTCTAAGTCCGAAGTTGGACAAAAATATTCTAAGTTCAAAATTGGGTGAAAATATTCTAAGTCCCAAAAGTGGAAAATAGTTTAAGTCCCACAGTAGTGTTAGCAGTAGGCAAGGCTAAGGAGAGGAGGCAACCAACCTCTTAGTGAGCTCTAAATAAGAAGAACTGACGTTTTGGTCCAGTGCATCGAGCCCCCTCGATCGCGACTTCCCAAAATGTACAGTGGAAGAATTTCTCTAAGAGAGAGGGCAAGATCGCGTCTGGCTCCCTATCTCTGACATAAATCGATGCGCGTAGCCGTACGGTTCACGCGTTTCGCTTGGACCAGAGGTAGAGTCGCGCGTCTTCTCGCGAGTTTTTCCTATATCTCAAAGAGTTCTCTTAAAATAAAACAAAATAACTTAGCCTTTCCTAATTACTAATTAACTAAATTTACTTAACTTCTAATTAAAACTAAAATTATAACTAAATCGAAATAATGTTTTGTTTTTTCCCTACCATTTAGTGACCTGTATCATCATAATCTAATTTTATTCAGACATACTGGAGACATCCCACAGTTTTTGTATCCATTGTGTTACTTATTAATTATACCTTTCACACCCAGACAAAACTGTCCAGTAAAAAAAAAATAGTGTAACGTTTTTCATAGTTTTCGGGGTCGCTGATTACGATTCTAAAATCAGTATTTCAAAATTCAAAATGGCGGATCCAAGATGGCTGAAGAATAATAGTCGGAATTGCATGAAACTTGTCACTCGAGGGTTTTTGGGATCCCTGCTGACGAATCTGATATTAGTTTTTAAAAATTCAAAATGTAGAATCTAATATGGCGGACGACTTTTTACAAAATTGATCCAATTGACCTAAAACTTCTTTCTCGGGTGATCCCCGGTCACTGATTACAAATTCGGTAATAGTTTTTCGAAATTCAAAATGGCGTTTGCAATAGGGTTAAGCAATTTTTCAAAATTTTTTCAGATTTGCTTGATACTTATTTTTAAAGAATTAATGCTTTTTAGAAACCTAAGATTTAGAATTTTTAAAAACTAAGATCAGATTCGTCATCAGCGATCCCAAAAACTCCCGAGTGACAAATTTTAGGTAAAACTAAACAATTTTTAAAAAATCGTCCACCATATTGGATCCGCCATTTTGAATTTTTGAAAACTAACGTCAGATTCGTCATCAGCGATCCCTAAAACCCCCGAGTGACAAGTTTCAGGTATAACTAATCAATTTAAAAAAAAACTATCACTGGATTCGTAATCAGCGACCCCGAAAAACCCCAAGTAACAATTTTCAGGCGATTTTTAAATCGCACTATAAATTTGACTCAAAAATATTAATTTTTTTCAAAGATATTGAGGTTTTTGTAGGTGGGACGTATATATATATGTCCCATGCGCGTGAAAGGGGATACATAGTTACATCAATATTTTAAAGATAAAAGTAAATTTGATATTAAAAATATTGAGAATAGATCAGCATCAATCATTGTAATTGAATAAATATTTATAGTTAATTTTTGTAATTAAAGAAGATTCGCCAGTTTATGACACTATAGCGATATATTAATGTACAAAATTCTTAAGATGGGAGCGATTGAACTACTATCCACGAGAAAATGATAGGCCCCTGAAAAATGTTCGAATTTGACTTGAAATATCTCTGTTAAAAAAATTATTTGAAAAAAATGAGAAATATTTTTGGAAAGCGTAGAATCTTATATGTTTGTATACGAAAGGCCAATATTGGAAAAAAAATTTTGCACCGTACAGGTGCAGAATTACATCACAGTGTACCCTATTTTTCGACATTTTTAAAAATGGTCGACTTTGGTACAATATTTTACACGGAAGCGATTATTCAAAAAATTCGAAAAAAGAACTATTTATTAACTGAATCTGTCCAAACGAATTTGCTTTATAATTATTAAAAAATCTTAATTATTATTGTATTTATTAACAATAATAGGAGACAATGTTATCTCTGGTTCTAATAGTCTAATTGAAATAAATCAAATTGGAAGTTGTAAATAATTAATCTTTTTATTATCTTAGCTGATTAAGAAAAACGAAATTCTTCGATTAATTACATTTTTCAACATTTATTTGGACAGTTTTTTTTTCTTGAGAACAAGTGTAAAACGGTTGCGAAAACCCAATTTTT